TCAAAATCAACTCCGGCCCAGGCATGAACAAAGCCTCAAGCGCAACCCAACGTCGATCTCAATTCCACTGGACGTACTGATCGACACGTTCGCTCTTCCAGTACCCAAGCTAGCCGAACCACTGGAACCCAACCTGAGAGTAAGACGCTGCACCGACAGAGTTCTACGCTCTGTACGACCCTTCCAAGTGGGCCCAAAGGCCAAACGCTACCAATGAACTTTGTTGGGGGAGATGTTAGATAAATAGACTATTTTTACCTAAAACTGACTATTTTTCGAGTATTTTCAATTATGAGCATCTCTAATCAATACTAATCTCGCGGAGATTAATAAATGATATTGTNCTTGATTGGCATAATCTTTTTCTTGCATTAATCGATGCTATTTTCAGTCACATATAAGCATCAGAGTAAAACTTGTAAATTGACTTGCTTCCTGTGTGTCAAGTACACGTTCGCTGTACACTAACTGTGTTCTTGCTTAAGTAGCTGGGAGAAGGCTACTAGTGCTCGTGGCGTCCAATCTGTGCTGTGATCGTACTCGTGAGGCTAGACGATTGGTGTGGCCGCTGAGGTACGTGTGTTCCTTGTGTCATCGTGTGATATCTTGTTGTGTGTACATTGTGACAAATCGGGATTTGGACACAACAGCGAAGACCTGCTGTTTATTGGATACTGGCAACCTAAGCCCTGGGACCGGAAGTGCTGAATCTCATCAGAACCCGCTAGGTTGGGCATGGTATTAAACTAGCCTACAGCAAAGATGCCTACGACCAAAGTTCGGTGGCTGTACCGAGGCTCGAATCTTGGACCATAGAGTCCAAAGCACGCCGGTGACAGTGATTAAACCATTGTAACACCACCACCCAGATATAGTGAAAGGAGCAAACCGCATAATTCACTAATAAACTGTACTTAGGATAGTGAAAGAAGGATTCCGGTTCGAACCAGTTTTTTGTTGAGTTGAAAGGTAAAAATGTTATACGTTATGGTATTTACTGCACTCCAAGTACTTAGGTTACTAATTGCCGCAAGCGAATAGCGCGTTCTCTTCACTATGGGATTCACACCTTTTGTCACTTATCACATTATGAACTGCAATAAAACTATCATTTATGAGAACATGGAACTGGGTGTGGGTGAATAAAAAGATGCGCTTAAGTTCAGACACGTTGCTTAGTTTCTGATCTGGAGGGCGGATTTCCAATATAAAGCATGAATGTGCACGTATGCTTTCTTAAAACTAGGTTTGGTTTTAGATCTGACGAACAAACCTAAATTGCTGACCAAAATCAAAAGACGGAAACAGCTTTATGGATTTTCAACTCCGCTCTCCTGTATAACAAGTGCGAAGTTGGCCAAGGTAAATTGGTGGACTACGAACACCAATATTTAAATGAATAATTTCACTGCACTTGCCTAAAGGAGCGCATAAATCACCTTCAACTTGAAAACCTCGAGCCCAAGTTCGTTGAGCTAAATGCACATAGGATACGGGTCATAAAGTTGCGAAGCACAAGTGATTGTGGAGAGGCAGGTAATATCCCAGTGACGTTCACAAGCGTCAGGCTATTCCAGCCAAAATACAATTTGTACAGAATATTACACCTGCGCAAAAATAAGCATATTTACATTATTAAAACAAAATAAAATGCGGGTTCGGGAAGGAGCCCAAGAAAAATGAGCACAAAGGCACATAATGTTATACAGGATTAAGAGGATCGAGCATTGCACTCACGCAAAATGGATAAAAGAGAGTGAAGATCGCGCTCTAAATGGAATGATTGTGGTAAGCGAAGATGGGGCACTAGAATCCGCAATAGTTGATAAATCTGGGTTCGCAATGCATTCAAGCAATGAGTAGGATCTGGGCATAATGATACTATGGGGATGGCACCTTCTGAAGCATTGTTAGTAGACACCTTCTCCATTGTATCTCTTGTAAGCACCGAAATAAGCTGAGTCAAAAACTTGTCAGTTAACGGGGAATGAAAATCCAAAGTGCTTTCCAAATGACTAGTGGGGACAAGTTGGTCTATCAGTTGAACAACTTGCTTACGAAGTAAAACAGCCTCTTCGTGGGCAGACATGTGGTGCCACATAAGACGTTCTTCTTGGGATCTTTGACGAGCAATGAGCCAGTTTGCCAACACGGTTGTTAACTGATTCAATGCATTAGAGGCTAATGTTGAGAGCTGATCGACGTATTCCGGTTCCAAAAACAGTGGGGGTAAGTCTGCGGGTAGCGTATCAGAAGAAGTTACGCTAATTGGATAGGTAACTTCCAAACCATCAACAAAGTCGAAAACGTAAAGACGCTCGAGTAAATCAGTGTCAGAAGTGGGATCAAAATAACCGAGCTGATACGTTTCGTGAACAGATATTGTTCGACCTTGTTTGGAACAGGAAACGTCTACATTCGGATCTATGGCGTGCGGCAGATTATGCAATTCGTGGGTGTTCGATATGCCTTCTGAAGGACTTTTACCTTGAATCAAATTCTCGTTTGGCGAACACGAATCCTCGCCTTGTTTTCTTATTTCGGATTCGTCCATTAATCCATTTAAGGTTTGTTTCGATGATGCTGCTCGTTTTCTTACACCTCTGCCGCGACGGAAGAGTAATCGGTTGTTGACATCGTCAGATTCCGAAAGGGGATTACTGTAACCGCTGTTCAACTGAAATATGGACGTCGAGTCCACATCGGTGGACATAATGCATGTCAGAGCGAGTCTAAAACAAAATAAAGCGTATATCAGTAAATCATTCTACGGATAAGCGCTATAAAATGGGACAGAAACTGTATAGTAGAAGTATTATTATATTATTATATTTCACACTTGTCTGAGGACAGACTATGCCAAGAAAATCACGGTACAATAATCTTTATAAAAAGAAAATGTTCCATGATTGGCTTTTGGGCTGAATACTGCCAGGTTGCATAGATGTACATATGTGTATATCCACACATACACTACATATTTCAGTTTCAGTTTCTACAACCATTAACTATGCACTATCGGTTTTGTTTTCTGTCTTTTGGCTGCCCATTTGGATGAACATGAGGAGAAAGAGAGGAACGGTTCATTGCACTGGTTTTGCAGAGAAATCGACAAGATGCACGAACGCCAGTCAGCCATATCACTCTCTAACCATCGGTTACGACCATCTCCAGGTCCCCAGTCAGGGAGCCTAACAGGACCTATGTGACCCAGACGCCTGGTTAGGGTTTTCAAACTCTCATGCTTGAGGACCACCTTTGACTTTCTTCCAACCACCACCTGCCTCGGCGAACATCGCTCGCCGTGGTAACCTATCTGATGACATGCGTAACACATGTCCCAACCAACGTAATCTATGGAGGTCGACCGCTTGCTCCCGTGGGCGACCGCATTTACCTAAAACCCTGCGCCTTACTTCAGCATTGCTCATCCGGCTACCCCACCAGATTCGTGCAACGCTGCGTAGACAGTGGTGTTCGAACACCGACAGTCTATCTTTATCCTGTTTCCTTAGTGGCCACGGTTCTGCGCCGTATAGCAAAACCGACCGAACTGCCGCAACATACACTCGACATATATATATATATATATATATGTATATATATATATATATATCGTAAAATATCCCCATTGATGCATAAGAACCAAATCGAAACGCGAAGAAATTTCTTTTCAGTATATCGCTTCAGGCATTTACATATATAATTCGACCGGTCAGTAGTATACATATATAAATATATATATATATATACCACTGGCTTGTAGACAAGCAAGGTGCCAACGCAACAACAGTAATAACAATAACAATAAAAGGGAACAGGTTGATTGAGGTACAGAACAGAGTAAAAAGAGGGTGAAATAGTTAAACAAGGGTAACTGGAAGATAACTGGAATAATAAATTGTTTTGTGTTTCACCGTACACCTTTCGATATTTTTTGTGTTGTTTGTTGTTTTTTACGGGGCACGAAATTCCGACAGGCAGACAGGACCGTACAGCATTCGCGACAGACTTCTATTCTGGGCCATATCTCTCAGCTTCTCTAAACAAAGACAATCCTCATCCCTTGGGTCCCAAC